ATAATAAAAATAAATAATAATAGTCATAAATAATAGTATTAATAAGAGAAACAACAAGCGGGTAAAAGTTCAAAACCAGCACTTAACCAGTTATGATGATAACGCTGCATCAATGATGTGAAGCACAAATAATTACGCTTCTTCTCCATGAATTCTTTCAAGAACGTGGAAATGAGAGAGAGGAACATAAATGGAATGTTCAATCGAAGAACAACAAAACGAGCGTAACAAAAAACTCAACCACTCGAAATTAATCCCTTCTGAATTGTAACTGAGACCAACAAAATGCCATCTTGTAACATACAACGAACACACCGAACCAATTTTAGCAAATTTTCCCACTTTGCTCACAACACTCTAGCCAGTTTCAATTTCTAGTGACTATAAATCAATTGTCCAACTACAGTTGCAGTCAAGTTTTTTCTTGCTGCAGCATCAGCTCAACGTATCTCAGAAACAATCGAAGAAGAGCTTACACAAATGAATGAATAAAACAGAAACAAAATTCGACCATTCGCTGCTGCAGGAGTAATGCTCAATGAGAAGACAAAACGATGAGAAGCTACTCGATGAACTCGAACTTCAAGAACAGAAAAAAGAATCAAATTAAAACAATAGAGAGAAACGATGAGAGTTAAATTACGATCGTTGTTTCGTTTCTTTATGCAACAAAATGTGTTGAATATTGACGTATAAATGAATGGAAGATAGCATCATTACATTGCTGAATTGTTATGTTTTTTTACGATGAGAAATCTTATAGAAACAGATAAAACTGCTACATTAAAGAACAAGAAAACGTGAAGAAAGAAACAGAAAACACTTTGAATGAACAATATCAGCGAGCTAACAAAGTAGCAAACGAATGATTTTCGTTATGAGACTGAAGAGGGTAGATTAGGAGAACACAATTAGCATTTTCATAAGATCATCCGTCACAATACATCTGCTACACGAACAATTGTGATAATCAAAAAATGAACGAATACGATAAAACTGAAAAGATATTATATGGATAGATGGTAAAACAAAAAACGGTTAAATTATTAAAGTATAACCGAACAGAAAGTTAGCAGATCAATTTAGCAGATGAAAGAGACAACTATTAAAACACAACCGAAATTATTCAACACTACCCTAAAAACATATCGCGATCCAAGAGGTTACGAACAAAACAAGGTAAAATGTCGCTCAATCGGAACGTTCGATTTTGCCAACGACAAATTAAATTCTCACACGAAATGAAAAGAGCTTAGAACGAATGACAACGCTCATTTCTAAATGAACTCTCGAAGATCACTCAATTAAAGAAGCCAATTTTATTAGACCTCACAACAAAAGCAATAACAAAACAATGACACAAGAACGATAAAGATACGACACAGTTCAACAATTCAACAACAAAATCGTGGCAGCAACCACAATTGTACAAAAGCCCACATCATAAGCGATTTTGAGGTAAGCTCCGCACAGACAGCAGAATGTCGACTAAACGATCCCACAACCGTTCATCACTTTAACGTCACTTCAACGATCAATTTCAATCGTCAGCTGCGATGCTTCCTGCGACGCGACAGTGCCCAGTGAGCACTTCAAGAGGACTCTAATGATATGCAGGAGGCACTTGATGCACAACCTCAACCACCTGAACACCATCAGGACGTTGGCTCAAGAATTTGAGGCAGAAATGATCGCGATCGCACGACACATCATTCTGCATGCTCTCTACATCTTCTTGCTCCAGATCACCGCCCGCGTTCGAATAACCATCGTCCAAACTGGACAAGATACAAGGAATTGCCATTCCAGGATGATTACGAGTCTGTTCCGGCTAAAACTTTTTCTAAACCGTTGACTTGCAACAGCTAGATCAATAACAGTTTGTAAACAGTATTGCCCCTAGAAGGAGCCAAATTTCATAAAAAATACAACTTCCTTGAATGTGGGTAAGTTTCAATATTCATTCAGTTCAATTCCTCAAAACATAGGCGTTCTCCGGTTCACCGATATGAAATATGTGCTAATGAGAAGTGATATCCCATCAATTCCCTCTTTAAGGATTTGATCAGGATTACCATTCATTGCATAACCATACTTAACTGATCCGACGATGCTCGCCAAATCCGATATTCACAAACGGCATCAAGGACGACTGCATAGTTCATACAACTAAACATCGAGCAGTGCTAATAACCTGATCATCGATCGATTTCAGTTGATCACGTTTGACTGTCTCGTAATTTCCATAATCGACGTACAGCACTGTTACATTATCCCCATCGACATTCATGATAACGGCTCGGAAATTTGCATCAAACGCTTTACAGTACGATACGCACAATGCGCCAACAACCTGATTAATAAAGTTGTGTACAAAATGATTGCACATAGCACAACATTTGCATAGAACTTGTGCTCATTTTTCCACTGCCAAAAAGAACAAACATCCCGAGTCGACAGAGGACGCATAGAAAACTTTTCTGATCAACATTATAATCAGCTGTTCTCAAAGAACACTTTTGTCACAATGACGTGAATAGATCATGAGAAACGGTGAGAGCAAATTCTTTTTTTTTCAGACGATCAAATCTTTCTGCTTCAAACTGAACATGAACTTTACAAAAACCTTTCCGCTTCGAACAGGTAAGTTTATTTTCATCTTCGAAAGAAAAAAGTTTTAAACACGGCAACCTCGATTAACAAAAGAAAATTATTNTGTAAGAAATCAGCTGATCGGAATATGTGCTATATTAATTGGGAAGAACGACGACGACGATGAATGCTAAGAAAACACGACACCAACCGTTTGTTGTTGAGGTAATTCGACGTTAGGTTGCAGTGAATCGAGATGCTGCTCAAGAAAATCTAATAAGCTTTCTTGTTGAAGCTGAACGAAGAACAATGGCCAATTTAGATTTGAATGGTCCTCATCGCTTCGTTTCACCACGTGCACTTCATTCTTCTTCACTTGCACATAGTCAAAATACGGCTGAAAACTGACTCTTCCTTTAATTTAATCATTTAAATAATTCAATCTCTTCACGCACTTTACATGATTCGAACGAATTCTGCAAAACAAATCGCGCATTTCCGTTCGAAATGCTTAAAAGATGATGTTTGACACTTTGCAATCAAACGAATGATAATACGCCGAGTATATCAACCTGATAGTTGAGTATCTGTATGATATGTCCAGCACTGAAGATGATCGCTGGTGACACTTCCTCATCGTCGATCATACCCGGTGACGACAACTGCGTTTTTGATGTGACCTCCTCTGATCGTTGATCGTCCTGAACACCACAATAAATTTCAGCATTACTCAAATACACTTTGCTGAATGAACACAATATTCCAGACAAAATAATAACTTCCAGAAGGAAGAGCCACTGTTAATGTCTCTTGACAATTAATTGAAAAGCCAGTTCCGGATAGCCTCATTGCATATAATTTCTTAAGAATTACAAAAGTACATTCTCATTTGCACTACTCACTATCAATAACCACAACAAATGGAAAATACAACTAAACTTATCACAAAACTGTCCTCACCTTTTCAGCCGAATGTGCTCGTGAATGTTCTGAATGCTCATCACTATCCGACGAATGTTGTTCATCCAGTTCGGTTGTTTCATCTTCAGATGATTCGTCTGATGTATACAACAAATTGCCATCCTTGTCACGTGGACGAGTCACATAGAATGTTTGCTGAAACTACTCTGTTATCAATACGACTAAAACGTAACATAAATCTCCCAAGAGAATATTTCGCTTTGAGCACGAAACTAAACCAACTGTCAGTTGCATTTTCATTCTTCACATCGCTAACCAGACCATCTGATCAAAAAACATTTCAGTGCAAAAAAACCTTTTCGATAATTCGATCGTCCACTAGTGGTGAGGAAGAGTGTATAAAATCTCCAGCATCGCGACGTCTTCGACTACGTTCCACGTTCAATGGACAATTTTTCGTGAAGTGACCCTCATGATGACAACTCTCGCAAAATACTGACGCGGATCCTTAAAGAAACAACGGACACATAAACGAAACGACTCATCCATATAATGAGCTAACAGTGTTCAATTAGTTTTTAATGTTGACAGCCGATTTGAATGATCAGTTTTGAACACTGCAATGACATTACGAAAGAACTGCCGTAATCAGCCAGCCGCCAATATTCACCACGGATTTTTGACTATCTTTTGCATCAAAAACTCAATGGCAAATAAAATTTTCACTACTCAATTGAGAGCACGAATAAGACCATGCAGGAAGGACGATGAAATAAGTTCAGCAGTATTCACCTCTACGCTGATAACGATTACCTTCATATCTCCGACTATAGTATTCTTTCGTTGGTGCTGAAAAGTGAAAAGATTGATGAATAAAAAGTTCAAAAAATTGTTTAACGCTAACCGCGATCTATCAGTATGCAACCAAACAGAGAAAATATCGAAACCAACAAAAACACCAACGAGTGATCAAAACGGATCACTGAGATACAAATTTAGAAGCAATTTTCAGAACCAAAAAGTTTTGCAGTAATTTTCACAACTACTATTCAATGATTTCATAGTCATACGTCGAAACAAATCTACATGTTATTTGTTTCAAACTTTCAAACCACTCAATTTCGCACCCAAAAAATCCAACAACATATCACCGAAGCTAACTGTAAGTAAAAGTTACTTATAGCACTCACTTCCTTTGGCAGCAAAGCGATTCACACCAGCCCTTCCATCGCGCTCTTTCTTCGTCCAACGAGCCTTCCGATCCGATTGGTTATTGTTGGGTGAATCGCTCTTACAATTAGCGTATTCACCGAATCCATTGTGACTGCATTCGGTGCGATTGTTGTATGAGGATAAGCCTGAATAACAACTCGTCAGCCAAACAATTCTATGATAAACAACAAAAAATTGAAACTTCAACACCTTTCCATTGTAAATATAACAGCTATAACATTACAAAAAAAAACAAAACGAACCAGTGGTATTGGTGATCGCTTGCCGTTGTTGCTGGTAGCGCCCACCGGGTTGATTTGAACTGAACGGTGATCTTGCTTCAGAACGATCATTCCTCAATGAAGTGTTTACGAATTCCGTTGGCGGTCGTATATTACTACCGCCGCCACCGCTACCAGATAGTCCTCGTCGTTGAGCATTTTTTACATTCGACCATACACTCAGTGGTCCATATGACATGTCCGTTTTCTGAAAACGGCAAATAACTTCCAACAAATTAGTACAGGAAGCTCAGATAAAATACCGATAAAAAAGGCAAAATATTTTACATCTCGTCCTCAACACGTTCAAGTCAAATGCAACTTTTTGCTAAATACATTTTTCATTTAGAAGCGAGCGATACGAAATAATTTATTGCTCAACAGACGGGACGATGCCAGATAGTTCGAGAAGGGTATTTGAGAGTTGTGCAAGTGAGTGCGGCCATGAATAAACTGTACGCTCAATCACTGTGATCAAAAAACGAAGAGATTCAAACGAAGGTCATAACAGACACGGTCCGCAACAGAGGTTCCGCCTTAGAGGGCATTTTATAGAATTAGCAATGGAATAATCCATGCAAATAGTGACGCGCGGCGTAAGGCTATCAAATTGCTGTGTCGCATTCACACAAACAATTTATCAACGCACAACTCAAAACAAGAGCATCCCCATAAATCCCACTGAATGCAAAAACAAGTATTCACTGGAAACGCAATTAACAATATGACTTCTATCTTCTTTACCATTCACTAGACTAATACTACCGGTAACCTTTAACTAGCTTACTAGCTCTATCGTTTAAATCGCACACGCTCACAATTTAACACAACAAATTAATTTGGTGAATAACATTTTGCAACAGAATCTTATTGCTCAATTACCACTCTATTCAAATATCACAACAACAAATGCTACCGATATAAGGTGAACAAAACCCTATAAGAACTAGAAATAAGCAATTGACCGATAAAGCGGCTGGCTGGTGACCGATAAACTGAAGTGAATGAACTGAGAGCGTACTTTTTTCTGTGTGCGCATTTATGTGGAGCTGACCATGAACGATGCGATGCCTACGGCAAACAAATTTGGTTTGAGGGCAGTTTGCAATCCAGCGATTACGATTACGTGTTACTGGTGTAGCACCTTATTCTTTTAGAGCAAAACGCAATATCTAATACAGTACTATTACTACACAGTCTATCAATGTTCCTATGTTCTCGTTCATAATGAATAACGAATCAAATGTTACCGTCGCATTTCCATTCAGAAGATCCGATGCGATACTACTTTGGCAATACGCAGCAGCTGTTGACGCTGTCGACGAAGGACATGTACTCTCGGGCATCTGTACCATTGGATACGACGATGAATTCATGAACGGTTCTGAGTTTATGTTGTTCTGCAGTTGATCTTGTTGAGGTTGTGTCTGAGCCTGTTGAGGTATAGCGTTGTTACCAAACATCCCAAACTGACCCGTTAAACGTAACCTGTAATCTTGTGATAAAAATAATAGTAGTAACAGACCATAACAGCAATAATGATAATAATAACAATGTAAATGATAATGATAATGACGAACATCTGTTGCATATTGACAGTAGCTTGATTAGTGGTCGTAGACGCGGCGGTGATAGCATTAACCGTGTGACTGGTTGTTTGTTGCCATTGTTGTTGCATTATCGCATTGGCTGCTGCTATGCCCAACATTCCACAACCATTTAACCCTCCCTCAAATTATCATTTTTATCATATTAATATCACTATTCATATCATTATCATTCGATTCGTCGAACCAACCGAGCTCACTGCAAATATCACACTAACTTGCACTACTACTACCGTTCATATCAAAGATGCATCGAAACATTTTGATGAAGCTTGTTTCGAAAGGTTTATAGAAATCCAGGTTTGTTCAAAGGTTTATAGAAATCCAATCATCGGAGTTTGTTCAAACTCCGATGATTGGCATGCCGATTACCGGATGAGTACTTGATTACTAGTATAATAGTGACTGGAAAAACTGACGCAAACGAACCAAAAAGTCAAAAATCAAGATTTTGAAATTCAATCAACTCACCAAAGCACCGACCGGTAATCCACTTGTCGCGATTGTATCGACTTTCTTCGAGATATTCGCCACTTGAAGTTGCATCGTCACCAGCGATAACTCTTGTGAGCGATTCCTCCTTGAAACCAACACATCAATGTGGCCATATAGCTCAGTTGACACGAGATGAAGCTCATGATAAAAAGATAATTGAAGGTTATAATCAACGCTCGAATAACCAACTTCGAAATCTCGAACTGTTCGCGTTCTTTACGCAACAATTCAGCTCGCTCTTTGAGTTCAGCCTCCATACGACGTAAGGTCGCTTGATCGCCTTCAATTTTCAACCTTTTCTGCATTCCCATTCGTTGTTCATCTGCTTCGATTTGTTTTCGCGACGATGAGATCATATTCGTACTCGGATTGCTGCTGTGCAGACTTGTGCTCGTCCATACTGTACCCGAGAACGATCCGTTCTGTTGCTTCGATAGAATGCAAACACTGTATTGGTCGTCTTGATGCAGCTGAATACTTTCCATACATTTCAACTTCACTTTCAATTAATCAGTGATATACTATCAGTAATTCAATTTAATTATATCTCAACTCTCATTTGATCATCAAACAGGGTTCAAAGCAGGGTATTTTCTCAAGCGGGAGTGCTCGCACCCCCAACGTGTGTGAGATGGTATCGAGGGGGTGCAAGATAAGGTTTTATTTTTTTCCAGTAAAGTAGGCGAGGACGAAGTTCAACGCTTACATATGCGTAAAGTAGACGAGGGTGGACTTTAATGTATATTTTTGAAAACGCTCGAACGTACTCTAATGGTCCACACTTATCCACACAACAGATACTCACTACTGGATGAGAGATACAGAGTGGGCGTTGTGAGAGGTGCAAGGAGATTTTAGAGTTTTCTAGGGGGTGCGGAGAAGAAATAAGATTGTGAACCACTGGTCTAAACCATAGAATATTAACGCAGAACGTATGGATTCACACGAATTTGAAAATTCACACGAATTCCGCGATTAGATTCAAGCTCTAGATTCAACAGCCTCAGGATTACCCTAAACTATCGCATTCAAAATTTCACCTGCTCTCCAACAGACACACTCCGCTTTCCAATCGTACTTCTGACCACCTTGAAGAAAAATGATGCCATTGGCATATCGCGTACTTCGGATGGCTGAAAAAAACGGTCAACATACACCAAAACATTCTTCGAGACGAATCGACGATATCAAACGCAACGACAATTGCTACAGATTCAAGAGATCAGTGGAACCGAAACGGATTTATTCACTCCTCAAATATCACTTTTCAGCTTTTATTTCAAGTCATTTCAGTCGCCGTTAAATGAAGGAATATACGAATGATGAAGTGGTTCTTGCCTGTTCACATATGTCAAAAACAGCTAACATATCGCATTCCACCGACTGATCGTAATCTATCAGATATGCAATACACGTGCCTCGCATCGGATCAAACTGCCTTGCTAATGCCCTTAATTCACAAAGTTTTGAACTCGTGCAAATAAACTTGACAAATTTTATCACGGCGGCTGCGAAATTTTATCAAATGCAAAAATGAAAATAGTTGATGAAAGAGATGATGTTCAGACAACGAATAAATACGAATAGAGTATCGCAAAAAGTATCTTTGAGCGAATGTACTTGATTGAATGCTCCGTATAATGGATGAGAGATACAGGGTGGGTATTGTGAGAGGTGCGAGGACATTTTAAGTATTGCTGTAAGGGCCGCAAGGACAAGTTAAAATTTTTTTAGGGGGTGCGAAAGGGAAAAAAGGCTGACAACCACTAATTTAAACACTTCTTCACGCCTTTCTCTTTTGTTGAAAACACTCGCACGTTCGTATAATTCCGAAATGTTTCTCTATCAATTTTCAACGTAACGTCCCGGCTCAGATCTAGGCTGTCTTGTGTCTTCAATTTGTGAGATTAGCGTCCGCCGCTCAGAAAAATTTTGAACGATGGAACAAATTAAACCAAAAATGAGTGAAGAGAATGAACCGATAAAGACGAGCTTCTTTTTTGCCAGGCCTCGGCGTGCGAACGATACACGGCAAATCAGCACACTGACTATCCAACATTTCAGAAACTTCTACGCGTCGTGTTGGTCGTTTCACGTACTCAAATTAATTTGAACTAATCGGGAGAGAAAATTAAAATTACGGGGATTGAGGATAAACGGTGAGTATTCGGACTCAAATTTACTGAATACTGTCGAATTTGACTGGAATATTGATTAAATGAGGTAATAGTGGTGATGCATCTTTTACGATCATTTAAGGCTAATTCCAGTACCGTGAAAAGATACACTGACAACTTAATAACCCTTCAATTATTCCAAATCATGAGAGTTTCTTGATGAAACCAACTGATTTTTGAACAAAAAAACAACAATGAAGACGTTGAATCAGGATTAGACAAAATCGGTTGAACAATAAAAATATTTGGAAGAGAAAACAACTCACTTCATAGAGATCAGTCAAGAGTGTGATATCACGCATTGCATAGAAATCCACATCGATAAGTCTCGACACACGTGCGATGCGATGGCAGGGCATAGGAGATGGTGAGTAGGGTATGAAATGGGAAAAAGTGTTGCTTAATACCGATTTGTTGGGTGATACTTCATGGGCACATCGTTTCTTCTTCGTGTCAACTGTTGCTGTCACTGATTCGGTAGTCATTATCGCATTGAATGACTCACATAAAACACTTATTCACCGTACAATGGCCTAATAACACTTTACACCCTGCAATTGCTAAGATTTCATCAGTTTGCCATAAAGCGTACCAATGCCCAGTGCAGTGCACTTAAGGCAAATCAATGTGGCCATCTTTAATTATTATGAAATTGTTATGAGGTAGCTGAGAACACTTTGTTTTGCTCTCTTTCAATCAAATAACCGGTCTCATATACGCTCATCAACCGTCGCTCCCTAACGGGACTCTTAACAATCCGTAAGGAGCATTTCACTGCGAAATAAATGTGGGAAAATTTCGACATGATGAAATATCATCAGATTCAACTAAATATACTGATAAATAGCATTCACCATCAATATGACAGAATTTCCATGTATCGTTCAAAACAACTCGTATTCCAAACGAAATGAAAACATAAACATATCTATCTGCATTACTCGAAAACTAACCTCATGCAAAATGTCCCACCCGTGCGGAACACCACTTCAAACTTACGAACAAAACCAGCCTCACACCTTTCAACTTACAACAAACACTAATTAATCGAACGATTATCGCTCACTAATTAACAAATAATAACTACTACCACTATGAAAAATTTGCATACACCACAGTTCGTCTAAAATTTATTCACCTTAGGAACCGCAAATTTGTGATCTATTCACATCTTACTATAACAACACCAAAACTTCTCTAATAATAGTGAGATTCTTGCATATTTATTCATGGTTAAATGAAATTAATTGTAAGGTTGAAGCCTTAAGAAATGCGTTAACCATCATTCCTAAGCTAAGAATGTTATGTAAGGACAAATTTTTAGGATGACTCGATTGAACAAGTGGAAACTAAGGAATTTTCATATTGTATTCCATGAACAAATAATGGGCGATGAAACTTTACGATATTGTAATGTGTCGCAGTGAAATGTGGATCGTGTTAAACGAATCTTCATCGTTAATTTTCGTGTTCGTAAAGTGAAACTTCAGCAAATAGCATTTTGAGCGAAACATTAGCAGCTAGAAGTAAATGTTTCATGAACATCATTAAAGACCCTTATAATGATGATGTTGAACGAAAAACAAGTAGACAAAATTCAATTTTTTATTTCATTTCCAATTACGACTGCAACCAATTCAAGAACAATCAACTGAGGAAAACGTCGGATAATATTTCAAGGAGAATCATTCATGAGATATCGAGCAACAATATTCTTGGCTTTACGTTCCAACTGCAACGATTTGAGGTGTTTGTCTAGCATGGCAGTTGAAAGTGCTCGTTCCATCCTGTTTTCGATAAGTTTTCTTGTTTGTGTCATTAGCCGTTCGGATTCAACCGCATCGATCAGTGCTTTCTGGAGCGGAATATTCTCTTGCATTATTTGTACTGCTTTCAGCATATTCGCTGTACTGAAAAGATCAACAACACTACAAAGTTCTATCAATTTTCAAATAAAACCTTCTGAACCATCAGGATTCAACGGATATCATTATGGATAGCATTAGTAAAAACACTGAATCTCATTTCTATCTGTATTTCTTTCTGAAGATGTGGTCATATGAAAATATTAGACTATCAGCTAGATGTGGGGTTAATCGTTGCAAACTGAATGCTTTGCGTAACAGATAGAGCTTTACATCTGAAATCGTATATGTAATACGCATTCTTCAATAAGTTATTACATTGACTTGGTAAATTTGAGTATGACCTTATCAATTTGACCTAAAGTAGAAGTAGAGGTTTAGTGACAGGATCAGGAGTTTGTGCAAGCAAACAGTTCTCCATTACCAACAAACAATACCATCGAAAAATTTTTAAAAGAACTTTTAGCCGAGGATGATACC